AGAGAGAGAGAGAGAGAGAGAGAGAGAGAGAGAGAGAGAGAGAGAAATCTCGGTCGAGTACGGAGAAAGAGCCGTTGTCGTGTCACTTGCCGGAAATAGCGGTATTCTCGCAACAAACTCGAAGAAAAGGTACCGCCGAAATGGCAGCTGCCGGATTTATTTGTAATCGAGAGACCACCCAGACCCTCGGCGCGCGGATAACGAGAATAAATTTTCATTTCACGTGTCGGTGCGTTTTCGCGGTTGAACGACCCTCCATGGGTAACCCCCCGGGGGTGCAAATTACCTTGCAATATGTTGCCGATTGTACGAGCAAAGTCGAAAATCGATATGTCAGAATAAGGAGGACCGCTGGAAATGCCACGTATCGCCCTTAAAAGTATGGATTTAGCCTCAGCTCTTTCTCCCTCTCACTTTTTCCTTTTCTCTCTCTCTCTCTCTCTCTTTTTCTCCCTTTCCTGGTTGGCACCCCGTCGACGGGAGCGTGCGTGGAAAGGCAACGAGACACGAGAGAACGAGGAGGAAGAGGAAGAGAAAGAGAAAGAGAAACAGAAAGAGAGATGGAGAGAAAGAATTCCGTTCTCTGCGGACGGAATTCGAGTTGGCTTTCCACCCCTCGTCGTCCACTCGAACTCTTGAGTGATTTTACTGCCGGCACTAATCACTTCACTGCGAAACGATTTACTGATTTACGGTTTAATTTCGCGGAGATGGCTTCCCGATGCCTCTCTCTTTCTTTCTCTCTCTTTCTCCCTCTATCTCCTTCTATCTCTCTTTCTCTCTTCTCCGTCCTGACACACGATTCACAAGGTGAATATTCGCGCACGTGTGTGCGTAAAATCTACAGACACACAGACGGATGTCGTGGGCGAGTCTGGAATCGTAGGGCGGTAACGAAGACGCTTTACCGTAACGACAATCGGCAACAATGCAATTCTCCGCAGGATTTACCAAGCAACTCAGTTCGCCATATTAATGCGTGCTTCACGCGTATTTAAACGTATCGGCTCGCCGGCGCGAGAGGGTGTTTCGAAAAATGCCGCATGTTCGAGGGTTGCGACGAGGATACGACGACCGCGCGGCGGAAAGTTTCGCGTCTTTTTAGTTCTCAGTCGTTTGGGGGCTATGAATTTTTTACGACGTAAGTGCACCGAGTTTAAAGTCGGCCGAAAATAGCCGTGCTGTAGACTCGGTATGTTGTGTGTGCGCCCCAGGTATATGCACACAATATTGAGTGGAATTCTTCGAACTCTTCGGCTACGCGATGCCTTACATTATTTTTTTCGCCTTTCTCCTCGCGTAATTTCCTGATAGGACGTGCAGTCGTATTATTCTAACTTGTTGCAGGGAGAGAGCAAAGAACATTATTCCAGCTTGTTTTTTCTCCTAAATCAAGAAGAATTTTATTATATTAGTTTTACTATAAATTTTACTATATATTTTTTACTTGAAGAATGCCTTCTTATTAGAGAAAATTTCTACTAAGAACTAAATTTACAGTTGTACATAAAAGACTACATTCTTCCAACTTTAAGAGTACTGTGCTTAGAGTATCTCTCTTTTGGTTTTATAATAGAAGAATCCTCTTGAGGCTGTGTCTTCTAAGAGGATATCCTTTATGTATTCTAAGAGGATATCCTCTACGAATAAGATTATATTTTTTGGAGCGCAGGCTTACTCGCGTTGCGTCGTGAAGAAACGCGTTATTGTTTTCATGTTGAACTCCTTTAGTTCTCGTTTCACGATCAAGCTTGTGCGAGGGTGTACGTTTTCATTTTTTTTTATTTTCATCAACGATCGTTTTAGATGACTGTTGCGATCGGTAACACGTTCTCGTTGCGAAATCACTAATTCGTTCACGGGAGGCTCGCGAATTTATCCGTCTCGAGAGCCCGACACAAAGGTGCCACATTTTTTAGTTTACCTCGCGCGGAAACGGTATTTCGTATTTTCAATTTTTCCTCCCGTCCCGAATATCAACCCGTCAATCTTGGTGTATTTATGATTCGAGAAGCGCTATCATTTAAATTGCATACGCTCCCGTTTTCTCACGATCGATAGCTCGACCGGATAAATATTCCACCGAAAAAACGTCACGGTTTAGAATTATTGATGCATCCAGCGGCGAGTTCGGTCGCCAGCGCGGAGCATTTCAGGCTCCGCCTGATTTTTCGCGTGTAATCCCCTTACGGCCGTGCGCGCATCCTTCTTTTTCCCTTACGAGCGCGTATCGATACGCGCGCGCGCGTCTCTCGTTATTTTCGTTCGATTATAATTCCATTTGCCGCGCGAGTGCAACCCGTCTGTGCAGGGGTTATTAAGTTTCCGCGTGCGCGATTAGATTATGCTATATACCTTCGTGCGCGCGTATTCGGCAGCGGCATCCTTGACGGACGGCGCGTCATGGCTCTTCGCTGTCTCTTTATGAATGCGCTGCGCTTCGCGCATACGGGATATCAAGCATGCCAATCGTGCATGCGTCATCTTTCGCATCGCGCGCCCACGTCGAAACGTACGTCTCGTGCGATTCGCAGGTCGATAAGGAACAATATACGCTTCGACTTGGGCGCGTTACCGGCGGACTGCCACTCTCGATTCTTATCGTCTTCGCGAGTCGTTTCAGCCGACGATGCAGCACCGCCGAGACGGCCTCCCAGAACGCTTGTACTTCGTAATTGAAGAGCTTGGAGCCGGAGGATACAGTCCGAAATTCTGAGATTCCTCGCTTCAAATATGAGTCGCGTCTCTGAACAACGCGATATCGCGCGATTCGTCTCGAATAGGAAAAAAATGCTTGGTTTGTGAATGAACCACAACTGCCGGTGAAATATGAACGAATTACCATAATTTTGTTCAAGTTAACGAGGA